ATATTATATATTATTATATATTATATATTGACCGATATATAGTCTTGCAAACACAAATCTGACTGACCAGGACAGGACTGCCTGAGTTTATGCTCATAAAACCTTCACCTTAGCTGTTATAACTTCTTTCCATACCTTGCCTTTGAATGAAACCTTGATTCTGTGGTTAGATGCATTTTGGTGAGATGTCCATTCGGTTGTAGAGAGTTCTTTGCCACAGAAACAAGATCTGCATCCCAGCTGTTTTGGGGTACAGGAACACCAGAATCCAGTAAAGGAACAGGGCTACCATTCATCAAAGGGTGTTCTTTTGACCTTTGCTTTTGGTTGACGAACTTGCATAGGGCAGTAAACAAAGTAGGAAAGTGTGGTGTATTAAAGATAATTTTTAGAGAGACTAGTTGGTAAGATGGATATTTTGCTTAGTTGTGTGCTTCTGGGTTCTGAATCTCCACGATTTTTGTAAGATAATTTAGAAATAGATTACTTAAATCTCTGAAAGCATTCATTGCAAAATATGTACTTTCATTAATGTCAAACTGAAACTAGTGTTAATTATTTGTGACTTACATAAAAGAGGACAACCACAGAAAAAAGGCTAAGTCATTGCTACAGTTCTGGTTTGCTTGTGGTTTGTTTGGGGTTTTGGGGAGTTTTTTTGTAGTGCCCATTCAGACAGAAGGAATAAACATCATGAAATCTGATGTAGTTATAAAGCCTGACATCTTATGCTTTTGTAAAAATGTGTCAGGCTTCTCCAAAGAATGTTAGTTGAATCAATAAGTCAGAATTAGAGGGGGCTTAAGGATAAGCTGTCTTTTTCAGTCTAAAAATTGTTCTCATGTGCACTCCACTTAAAAAAAGGAAAATAAAAATTTGCACAGTTGGATGTCCAGTCTTGCCCAGTTCCCAAGTGGATTGTGATTTAAAACTGAAAGCAGGGCACCACCTGCACCATTTGACTGTTGTAATGAAGTCCTAGGAGAATTATTTCCTAGGGAATTATATTACTTGAATATCGGGTCTGGCTGGCTCTTTTACCCTCTTTATATTTTTTATAATTCTGACTATTTTTCCTGTTTGCAGCTTTCCTGAGCTGATAGCATCCTGTGGAGCTGGTGATCTGCAGTGATAAGAGATACAACAAAGAATATAAGGGATGCATAAAGAGGGTTGAAGCAAGGTATTATAAATGGCACTGCTCCAGTATTGTGGATTTTGGGGTTGTAGTGCTTTACATCAGTGAAATTTAGACCCTGTCTGCCATTCAAATTGTTGCTAAGACCACAGATATTGCATCTGTAGACTTTGTAAATCAGTTGATATTTTGCACTAGGAATAGCTTGTAAAAAAATCTTGAAATAGCTAGTTAGGCAGCTGTGGTATATAATCAATACAAATCCTGGTGACTGATTTTCTCAGTCATGGATCAGGCTTGCCACATGTGCAGCACAGCGGTGAAGGAATCAGACAGTAGTGTGAAAGTGAAGAAATCTTGATTGGTTTTGGTTTGGTTTGGGTTTGAGTTTGTTGGGGGGATGCTGGTGGTAGTGGGGGGGAGTTGGGTTTTTTTGCTTTTTAATCTCAGTGTTGTAATCTGCTCTCTACTCCTGCAGCTCTGCCAGCAGAAGTGTAATGAAAAGGTTGGTCATGTCAGCTGCAGAAAAGGTGATGGGGTTCATTTATGGGTTATTTACTGGCACTTGTCCCTGCGCCAGAAGCAGGAACAGGTCTGTCTGCTCACCTCCTTCCCTGGTGGGTAGTAGAGAGTGGCTGCCTGTGGCTCACTGAGGACAAACTGTTGTGATTTCAGTAAACAGAGCTTGTGCCTGGATATGCTTTTTCCTAAGAAAGAAGGGTGGTTATGATAATTTAAAGTATGGCAGTGAAAGCCCGATCACTCAGTAACTTTTCTGACTTTAATTTTTGGTCAGAATTTATAGTGTGCAATTTTAAAAAGTTTTTAACACACAAAAGCATTTAATTGCAACCCTCGTAAAGAGGTGTGCAGATTTTTTTGGCCATAGCAAGTATACAATCAAAATATCTCAATGCATATATTTACTGTCTGGCGCTGCCTGGTGCCCTGTAGCAAACTGCCATGGGAGGCATATACACCCCGACGGATGGAAATGCCAGAAGCCTGCAAGAAGTGAATTCCAGATGCTCAGTGTCAGGGGTCCCTAGCAGAGCTCTGTAATTTCAGTGCGCAGAATAGTCCCTGTTTTTTCTTCCTGTAACCCTGCTGATGTAGGACTTGCGTCTTTCTCGGGACCTTGGAGAAGGAGGAAGAGTTCTGGTGAGTCAGTAGTAGAAGCGTGTCTGGCATTTGGGCAACACGCTTGTAAAATGGCTTTTTCTGCTGGTCCCATGTGTCCCTCTCCTCTGCCCGGCCTGTCCGTGTGGCAGATACCCTCAGGTACAGTACAACATGTGCCACGTGTGCCTCTCATGGTGCCCTAAGAGGCAAAACAATTTGGTAAAGTCACAAATCAGTGCAGTCTTTTTCTAGAAGGTTTATCTGGAGTATTTGGCGTTACATAAAAGACGGGCCATTAGATGGGTCTCATCCCTTCTGCGTTAATCCACGAGCATGAACACGGAGCGAGAGCTGCGGTTTGAGCACGCAGACCCCGTGCGCTGCTCTCCTTATCCGCTCTCCAATCTTTGAACTCTTACATAATATGTTTAAGACTGTTTTTTTGAGTAATCTCTTTTGGGGTCTCATTTTGTATTCGTAGTCTGTGGTAACAAAGAACCGCTGTGCTCCTCCCTCGTGAAATCCTTTCCAGAAGGTGCACATTATCTACTGCGAGGCAGGGCAATGATGAGCATCAATTTCCACGGCAGAATAGAAGCCTGGATTACAAATTACTATTTAATCCTTTTTGCGTCAAAGGATATAATAATCCTTGTGAAATGTGCTCTAAGTCTTGTACTTAGAGGTTAAGGGGCAAAAACCAAAACAGGGATTCTCAGCAAGTAAGACATGGTGAAATGCATGCGTTCCACATGAATTTCAGAATATATTTATGACTACGTTTCAACAGCTAAAAATAAAGATGATGGGCTGGTACCTACACTAGCAGTTTTCGTTTCTCTGTAGGCTTGTTACTACTTTGCTAGAATACAGTTAGTGTCTGTCATGAGTGTTGCTTGCTGAATTGCTAGATTTGATTTTTTTTTTTTCCCCCACCAATGAGAACATTTACCAAAACTAACACATGAAGGAGGTGCCTTAAGAATGTGATAACATTTGTTTTATTTTCTAAATCATCCTGTTATGGGTGCCAAGCAATGCGGTTTTGTAATGGAGAAGCGCAAATAAGGTTGGGAAGGGCAAGGATTTAGTGTTCGAATTACAGGCTGATGGCTGCACAGTCTCCTGACCAGGCAGCTATTTTAAGAGAGGCAAAGTTTAATAACTTACAAAGTTTAGAAAATAAATCCCATGGTGACAGACCTACAGCCCTTTGAATGATGCAATTATTGTCACATGGAGCATGCTGTGATTTTTTTTTTTAGATGAAAAGCAAAACAGGTTAGTTGTTGGGAGCCAATAGCTTCATGTGAGAAGTTTATTCCATCTTTTTCTTACTGTCCTCTGTACTAAATAAAATGTGGCGTATTGAATAGAATCAGTCTCTCTTTTTGTGCTGTGGGCTGGGCATCGGTTCCCCGTGGTGAGCAATTACATTGTACATCACTCGCTTTAAATGATATTTAGTTGTTATTATTGTTACCACTGTTGTTTCTTTCTGTTGTGCTGTGAAACTGTCCTCATCTCAACCTATGAGGTTTTACCTATTGTTCCTTTCCGATTCTTCCTGTCCCACCGCGGGGGGAGCGAGCGGCCGCGTGGTTCTTTGTTGCCAGCCAGGCAGCTGGCTCAAACCACAACAAACACATTGAATGACTTGGTCATAGAAAGCATTATTCCACAACGGCGTATTTATGTGCTGGATGTTAATTGCACGTTCCTAGTGTGACATTGCATAATGCGGTGTCCTTGCTGTCACAAGCTGGTCATCTTGCAGGTGAAAACTGTGCAGTGCTGCAGCTGTTATGAAGCCATAAAATTTTTGTGTCATACTTGCAGATTTTTCTTTTTTATCGTTGCTCTCTTCTGCGACGAATTTACAGAAAGCAGGGACATTCTTTTTATCCATCTAGCTGCTGTGTTTTGGTAAACCCAGAAGAAGTCAAAAGTTCTGACGAGAGCTTTTGCAATTCATGCCAAATGAGTAACTTTTATTTCTTTATTTGTTGCAGAAAATTATTCTTGACTGATGACCGTAGGTTACCCTGGAAGAAGTTGCTTCCCTTTGAGCTTTACATGAGCAACCCCATCCTATAAGGAGAAGGAGGATCCGCCAGCCTTCTTAGCTGTGCAATGGGGACTACGGGTGATGACATGGCTTTGGTAGAACAGAATGCCTCCTTGAACCCTCTGTGCTTCGAGTGTGGCCAGCAGCACTGGACAAGGGAGAACCACCTCTACAACTACCAGAACGAAGTGGACGATGACTTGGTCTGCCACATTTGCCTTCAGCCCTTGTTGCAGCCATTGGACACTCCCTGTGGACACACTTTCTGCTACAAGTGCCTAAGGAACTTTCTGCAGGAGAAGGATTTCTGCCCGCTGGATCGAAAAAGACTCCATTTTCAACTCTGCAAAAAATCCAGCATTCTCGTTCATAAACTATTAGACAAGCTATTTGTTTTGTGCCCCTTCTCTTCAGTGTGTCAGGAAGTCATGCAACGATGTGACCTGGCAGCACATCTCAAAAACAGGTGAGTGGTGCAGATGCCTGAGTTGCCTATTCCATGTTGGTCGGCCAGTTTGTGTAGCAGTAGAAATTAGGGGCTGGAGAGGGGAGAGGATTGGTGATGAGTTTTAAATTCACAGTAGAAGACCATAGGAAATGGTCACTCTAACTGTGCACGACTAGAGCACTGGATCCCCTTTTGGACTTTACAATAGTGAAGAATACTTGGGAGAGAGTCATGGGGAGAATGACATGATTCGTTAGATGTCTCAAAAATATGATTTAGCAGAAAAAGTTCAACAAAATGGGCGTTGTTTATGGTAGGGAAGAAGAGACCAAGGAAGGGGGAAAATGAGAAATATGCGAGCTCTGTCTGCAAAGAGAAGGGAAATAGTGCAGTAGACACAAAGGAGATTTTTAGGAATAAAAGCTTTATAATAGTCCGGCACTGGCATAGATCGCTTGGTTGGTGGTTGTATATTTCCCGCTTTCACAAGTGTTTATGAACATGCTTACCCAACCTCTGTCAGGAACAGTTAGGAAAGAACTGATTCTGCTGAGGTAGGCAGGTGGACAAGGAATCCCTCAAGACACCTGCAAGAACCATTTTTCTCTGCTTTAAAAAAAAAATAAAATCTGCTTACTGCAACGGTTGATGGTGTGTTGTGCAAGCATAATGTAGTTTCTAAGATTTGTTTGTTTATTTGTTTTGATTGCTTCGAGCTTCCAACACCCTCTTAGTTTGGTAGAAACTCATCACTTCACACCAGTGGGAAGTTTTGGTGAAGCTTTCGAGAGTTATCATGTATCAGAGAGATACGCCTCGATATTACCTGCACCTAAATGTTTAGGACTGTTTTTATTGTTCTGCTTTAGGCTGTCCTACCCTAAATACTTAAATACCCTAAATACTTAAATATTGAATGGAGGCCATGTTAGAGAGAAATAAGATTATTATAAGCATGGACCAGATGATCTTTGCAGTCCCTTCTAACCTGGTACTCTGTGATGGTATGATTATCAAATTCAGATAGAATGATACTTCATACTGGGCAAACTAGCACACTTTGTTCTTCCAGCAAATGAATTGTCTCTGTACTGTGTATGTGGAACCCTGCTACATGAAGATGCTTCATTCTTTTCTGTAAAGCAATAGCATTTTTCTAATGGAAAAAATGTTAAACTTGTTTTGAGGGGTGCATCTGACTTCTCTTCAAAGGTTGGACAATATTTTCAGTAAATAAACAGAAGGTTTTTTAATCATTAGCTATTTCATTATATGAGTCATAAACAAAAACTTGGGCATACCATTTATGTTAAAGCTAAAATGTAGTGGAATTAATGAGTCAGGGCTAAAAAAATATTAATCATATCTGTACCAACTAACTTTAGAGATTTAAGAAATTATTACAGGAATATAGCGAAGAATTACATAGAGAAGGATATTATGTATTCAAAGGAAATGCATCTGACTTCAAAGGATCCAGTTCAGGTGAATTCTATCTGCTACCAGAAAATATTCCTGTGTGCAGCTCGGTGCTATTTGAAAACCTACGTTCATTTTGCAGAGAGAGGTTTCAGAAAAGTATGTAACTGCCCCTGCAAAAAAAAGCATCAGACCTAGAAGAATTAAGCATTGTGCGTATCGATTGTACAGAGACAAAAGGCAGTAGGGAAATATAATTCAATAGGTACGAGTCCTAACTCTGCTGCTCTCAGTCACTGCATGAACTGAGATCTTTTCATTTCCATGACTTCATCATGGGCTTTGTTCTTGCTTGCTTTGGTTTCTGTCAGTTTGATACTTTTTTTTCCCCCTCTTTATATTTTAAACCAGCCTGCACAAACTCCAGCAGTTGCCCAGTTCATGAGGGTGTTTCACGCTTTGGTAGTCTTACCTGTGCTGGTTCTTTGGGCAAAGAGCCCTCCACATTGTTGTTGAAAACCTTGGGCCCGGAGGGAGAGGCAGTGGTGGCTGTGGCAGAATGCAGAGAAGTTTTCTTTCCTGTCTCCCTCCCCAAAAGGAGGGTGGTATTAGCTGTGTGCCTCCTCTGCCTGCCCTCAGTCTGGTCCAGAGACACTGATGGCCACCTGGATGGCAGAGTTTGTTTGAGAAGTGTGTGGATCTACCTCGTGAACTTGTTTTCAAGTCTCAGTCTTTGTCCATTTGGAGGCTTTTAGAGACCATCTTCGGGTGAAAGGTGTCTTATGAGGAGCAGCTGAGAGAACTGAGGTGGTTTCACCTGTAGAAAAGGAGGCTGAAGGGAAACCTTGTTGCTCTGTACAGCTACCTGACAGGAGGTTGTAGCAAGGTGGAGATTGGTCTGTTCAACAAGTGATAGGACAAGAGGAAATGGCCTCAAGTTAAGCCAAGGGAAATTTAAGTTGGATATTGGGAAGAATTTCTCTACTGAAAGGGTTATCAAGGGTTATCAACAGGTTGCCCAGGACAGTGGTGGAGTCCCCTTTCCTGGAGGTATTTAAGAGTTGTCAGTGTTAGGTTAAGGATGGGACTCAATGGTCTTAAGGATCTTTTCCAATCTGGGCAATTTTGTGATTTTGTGACGTTGCAGAGGAGATTGTTTGAGTCAGGCGCAGCGGTGTGGACGTGGGTCTTTGTTCATCTGGAGACTCTTGGAGTCCACCTTCAGGTGAAGGGTCAAGATGCAGAGCAGGTTGTTTAGGAGTCCAGCGTGGTGTGGATGTGCATGTAGACGGGTGCTCCACTGAGAAGGGGAAGAGGGCAGCCACCACCTGCCTTGGAAACAGCTTGTTCACGTGTGTGTTTCCAGCGTGCCTTCTTCCCCACATCCTGAAGGCTTCCAGGATTCAGAGCCTGGGAGGATACGCGCAGGACATGCAGGAACCCTACAGACTGGTGATCCTGGAGGTGCCAGGGCTTTGTTGGTTGTACCCACAGCGTGGGTGTACACATGTGCAGTGTCCATGTCAGGAAGGCAGGGGGAATAATGACAAACATTTCTCTCTTTTTTTCCTTTTTTTATTTCTCCATGTGGTTTTCATGTAGGCTTAGGCTCCTGCTTGTTCCTTCCAGGCCAGTAATTTCTGATCTATATGGTGACTTGGTGTTGGTGAGGAGATCTGAGTGTTTCTTCGATTTATAATCCTAATATTAAACTGATTTGACTTTAATGAAAGGCAAAATGCTAGCAAGGCTCCTGTGACAAATTTGATTCATCTTATGGTTTCCCACTGTCGTATCCATCACCTCTTTAGTCCATTTTCCATGGTTGACATCTCTTTGAATGATATTAGAGCTGTTTACAAAAAGGCCACGTAATTTGTTTGTACATGGAACACTATGTATGCTCTCTTTAGATATATATATATGAAATATTCATTTAGCTGATGCACAAGGTTATTATGAAATCCAAGTGAGCTGAGTCACTAGCTTTTCCTGTTTGTCGACTGCAAAAAAGCTTTCAGTTGCAGAAGGCTGCTCATTTTCAATTCCTTCTGTTGTCTTGGGATGCCGATACGCATTTTGAGTATGCGGTGATTTATAGTTTTCAATTAAGTTTATTTGCAAACATCTGAACACCAGTAAATTATCATTGCTGACATAAAAGGTGGCAGCAACTGCATAGTTTTATTTTATAAGGATTAGTGAGTCTGGTAAAACTCTACTACTGATCATTACATGTAGGAAAGAAATACAAAAATCAGTATTATAATTTTCAGCATAGATTAATATAAACCAGTCTCAAGAAGCCTTATATGAGCTAGTTTGTACTTCTAGGAAATGCCACATTGTTAGTTAGTTTTCACTGTCTTTAAAACACTCACACTCAGGTTTTCCAGTGTTGTTTTAATCGGCTCCATCTGAGCATAGAAGCTGGAAGAAAATGTCATCGTATCCACAAGACACCTCAGAGTTTAAGGTTTGTGCAAGCTGCTCCAGCAAGGAGATGAGAGGCACAAGGCACAGTTGTGATTACTTCGTGTCCACTAACTGCACTCTATGATATCTTGTTGCATAAAGAAAATATTCTTGGTTTATCTTTCGGTTTTATCACATTCACTTGGGAACTGTGGTTTTCAAAGTTAAATAGAATGCACATAATCTGATTTAAACAAAAGAATATATGAGCAATGTTGAATTTTACTGTTTTTCTCAGTCACTCGGTATAGAAAATTTGTTAACGTTTAGTAAAGTAGGTGTCAATTCCTCTTCTAAATATCAAAGCTAAATTTATCAGATGGAAATCTGTCAAAAAAGTACCAATCTTTTCTGTGTATGATTTTAATTCAGTGACTTCTTATCCAGACCAGGAAAAACTCCATTCTACAGAAACATACTCAGAAATTTGTGCAGCTTTTTAATAAGAGTGTTAGGTATTGTGTTTATGTATTGCTTCAGATTTGGGCTTCACTTTTCCCCTCATATATTCTCCTGTAGTAGTTGAAGTTATCATTTTAGATGGAAGTATTTTTCCAAATATTTTAATGCTGGGGCCAACATCCAAGCCAATTTTTTATCAAGTTAAGTTTGAATTTTATATAGGATTGTATTTTCTGGAATTGAACAAGTCATTGAACTATTCACTGTGTTTCAGTATATGGATTTAGAGTAACCAAAACTCTTGGAAAATCAGCTGTATAGATTCAGAATTTTGTCTTTCAAAGTCTTGGCAATCCAAGTTATTTTGGTGTTTGTGGTAGTGCTGCTGAGTCCTGTCCTTCCCACCTGGCCCCGTGTTAGCTGCAAGCACTGTCCCTCTCCTGCTTTTGGTAGCACCAGGAGAGGTGAAGAGGATATGTAGGATTTAACCCTCTTTTGGCAGATCGGTTCGTACACCTGAGAACGTGGATAGGCCACGGATTCAGAGCTTCTCCGTGCCTATCAGACTCTTTCCGTTGCTGGGAAGGTGAAGGGTCTTTATGGTTGGTTTTCTCTTCTGGAGCCACCTGGCTCCTTGTAGGTTGCTCAGATTGTTGAGTGTGGGACAGAAACGTGGAACATACCCACTCTTTTTTTCTTTTTCCTGAATCTTTCCTGATTCCCAAACCTAGATAACTCCTAATGCCTCCTTTTCTTTCTTTTTTTTTTTTTCTTTTTTCATCTTTATTTTGCTGGCAAAAGAATAAACAAGACCCAAACACTTAACTTTCCAAAGAAGCACCGTATTTTACTCTGAATTGCAGCTGTAAATCTTGCCAGAATTACTGCTTTAAGGTCGCTTTGCTGGCAAAGTTTTATGAGCAATAGCAAAGGCATTTGGGTTGCTTCCCTGCAGTCTTTGCTTAAATTCAGTTCCTGCTTGGAAAACGATTTAGTGCAACTGGTTTGAGGCTATTTGGCATGTTTGCTTTTATCGAATCCTCTAGACTGGGCAGAAGCTGATGGCGTAAGTTACAATGAAATCTTTCTTTTCAGTCGTCAGTGAGCAAATGTGTTTTTCGAGCCCCTACTGTTATTCCACAGAATATGCTGTAAACTACATCTTAATTTTGTATGAAAGCTCTTTTTATCTGCAGAGAAAAATTGCTGCTAGTGTTCCAAGAAGTCAGCTTTTAAATGAGAAACCCAGAAGACTTGGCTGTAAGAAACAAAACAAAACAGAAAACCAGAAAAACTCACTTTTCTTCTCTGTCTGGTATGGATTAAGAGAAGCTGAAGGTAAAAGCTGTGCTTTGTCACCATCCAGAATTCAGCAAAAGCTAGTGCTGAAGGGAGGAGAGGAGGGAGTTGATGATGATGAATATAACCAGAAGCTCATTTTACATCAACAGAACAACTTCCCCTTGAGTTTCCCAATGAAGAACATCACTCATTTGCTCTAGCTGGTTGTTTCAGTATCTCTACTCTTGAGCTTCTTGAAAGAAGAAGCTTGAGCTTGTTTCTTGAAACAAATTAAATTTCTGGAAATTCTAAACCACATTCCTGCCTTTCTTCTCATTCCTAGCTGACACATTCTGGCTTTGTAGATGCAAAATGCTGTTTCTGTAAGACACATTTCAGTCTCATTTCAGCCCTTATTTATGCAATTTGTTGTATGAGAATGTTTTAATGGGTACAGGAATCCAAGCTTCAATGCTTGTTTTGATCCCAGGATGCCCATTTATGTACCTAACTTGTTACAAGATTTAGTCCAAAATGCTCTTTATCCCAGGTATTTGACAAAAACAGTATTAGTGAAAGTGTGCACCTTCAGAGATTTATTGATGCTTGTTAACTGTTATAACTACTGTATGGTTTTGCTGTTTGTGAATGATACATTCCTACTGCCAATAAAAATCTCTTTATGTTCCAAGTGGAAATGAAAAATCTCCTTATGAATGTGCTTGAATACCAGTATTGGGCTTTGCTGCTTGGTAGGTAGCATGCTGTGTTTAAAGACCTAGGAGCTGGCATTCCATTAATTAATGCCTCCACCAGACAATGTGTCCTGGAAATACAGTTGCACTATACCAAGCTGAAAGTCATAGTCTGTTACAATTGCTGGTTAATTTGGGGACAATCTGGGGTTTTTCCTTTTTTTGCCTCGTAGAGTGCTGCACAAAGGGATTCTGCTGCGCTGAGTAGGTGTGCTCAGGAGGCTGTTTACATTTCTTGATATTAGCCTTTGAAATGATAATTAAATACCATTGGCAAAAATAAATCACAAATCTATTTATATTTGGCACGACGACTTTCATCAGCTGCCAGGTAACAGTGGGGGAATGTGCTCTGTGAAGGAGGATGGAGGAGAACCTGGCTGTGGTTTGAAAGGCTTTGACAGAAATAGGACACTTCAGGAATGATTTTTGTTCTGTCCTGGTTTGATACAGTAAAAAATAAAAAAATTTCCAAGGTGTGCGTTGCTATCTACACCAGGTCCTTTGGGACCACAGGCCTCATGAGATGGCTGAGTCCAAGTTAATAGCAGAGTGTTTTGGTAGAAGATGCCTATGGAATTTAGAAGATACCTTCTGTCTGGTTGACAGAAGTTGCCCAGTAAGGCTGGACCCTGCTGTCCAAGCTCAGTGGGGTTGTCCTCTGACAGTGCCAGCTTTGAGCTGTTCATGCACCTCTTTGCTGAAAAATCGATGCTTCCGCAGCAGAGCAGTTCAGGGACAGCAAGGACACCCCGGTTGGACTGGCTTTGTCCTTAACTCTTGCCAATCAGTGTGGGAGAGCTCCCAGTAGGCAAGAGGTTTCCTCTGCAAGAGCGTTTACCCCTTGCCATGTTGCTGCAAGGACTAAGTGATGTTGGAGATTGGTTCTCTGTTTGTTTTGTTTTCATTTGGGGGTTTTGGGGTTTTTTTTTGTTTGTTTATTTTGGTTTTCCCTATTGCCAGTGGTAAGATTTGGGGGAGTGTGAGGCTAACCCATCAAGTTATAAAATATTTTAGAAACATTGAGATAAAGGATTGCATCTCTCCTTTTCTTGGCCTCTTAGGATTTTTGGTTCGGGGTTTTCATTGAGAAATGGTCAATGATAAAAAATTCCTACTGAGTTTCACCTGTAACTGTATGTCTCTGGTCGCCAGAATAAGTTGAGACTGGCCTGATTTCTTAGCTGATCAGTCCCACTGTGCCAGTGATTTTTATGTAGTAAATGTTACCTGGGTGAATCCAAGAAGTAGGATTGTGTTCTGTCATTAAAATCAGAGAAATCTTTTCACAAAGCAAAACCTTTCAAGTCCTTTTCCTTTTCCTCTTTTATGCTTGCACTTTCTTAACTTTGAAGGACAAGATGACCAGCAAGTTGCCTTGGGGAAAGCCCCAAGAAATTATTTCTTAAATGTGTCATTTCATAATGTGAACTTTCTCTAAGTTATGTATTTATATGCATGTTTCACAGCACATTTGGGTTATCTTATGCTATTCTTCTACACATGTATATCATTAATATATATAATGATTGATATATATATCTTTATATATAACACTGCTAGGGATTGCAAAAGCTATAGAGATGTCTTTATCAACATTTTTTGGAGCTGAATAGCCATGTTAAAATTTCTTCAAAATCACTCACGCCGAAATAGTCTAACCAAGTAATTATCTAATTCACTTCACAGAATGTCAGAACAGAACTGTGATTCACAAAACATTCTGTTTTAACAAGTTAGGACATCATTAGACTTTTTCTGTCTTTTACTCTGTTAACACATTTCTTCTCCTGTTGCAAAAATAAATAACTACTTCTTTTGTTATAACAATCTGTCAAGTTCCCAAACAGGGAGTCCTTTAAAGAACGTGGTTCCTTTTTTCTGACACTGCTACAATACAAGCATCTTTAGATGGTCAGCAGCTCCAGAAACAGGAACTTTAAGAAGGACATCAAATACTGTAAGAAGTGACATGTCAGACACTGGCAAAATTGATGTCCATATCCAATTATCTACACATAAGACTGTTCAATAAATGAAGGCTTTTCGTGAATTTGCAGCATTGCAGCTCTTCATTGCACCAAGCTATTGTAGGATTTTAAGCACAAGCAAAAAAATATATTGCATTAAAAATAATGGGAACTCACAAAAATGAGTTTATAGTGAAAAGCACCAGAAGCTGATGGAGCATTGTTACATGAGAGAAAACAAAAAATGGCACCTCCTGTGGGAAGTCAGGAAGAAAAGGGAACACAGGGAGGAGGATGAAATGCCTTCTACTGATTCAAGAGGAGATGATGAGTAAATCTGTTACTTTTGCTAAACTTTTCATGCAAACTTAGGCAAACATAATTTTTTTTTTCAGTATTTTAACACTTAGATTGCAGTTTAGGTAAAATTTTCATCTCTTTCCTCCTCCAAATGACCCCAGGAAAATATGATGTTTCCTCCTTGTGGCTTACTGAGGAGAAAAGGAGATTGCTTCAGTGAGTCTTTGAATGGGACTTCTGTGGAATTTTATACCAGTCCTGCTTAATCTTTTCAGCAAGGTTGTGTTCCAGAAACTGCAATGTACATAACAGAGTAAGTCCATGTTCAGAAGATGTTACAGCATGTTTAGATCATGGCCAAAAAGCTACGTAGTAGAAGTTTAGTGTAGAAGGCAGTATTGTTTTGGGGTTCTTGCCACTAAAACATACTTTTGCCTTAAAATCCAATGTGCACAATAATTTTTATGATTAGTTTACTCCTCTGACTTTGAAGAAAACTGATTTAGTTTGATGGAGCGCTTGGTCATTTTGTGCCGCAAACTTTGCTGCAAGCTTGAAGCATGGTATAAACGTTGTCTTCTCAGGTGTCCTGGGGCTTCTCATCGAAGGGTTGCTCTGGAGAGAAGGAAAACAAGCAAGCTGCAAGCAGAAGCGGAGGGCGAGACCGTTCCCGGTGGGATGGAGCAGCCCAGCAGTTTATCTTCAGATGCAGATCAGGGAATAGCGCCAGCCGAGCAGAACTTCAGCTCACCCGCCCTCCCTGCATGGACAGACGAGCCCGGCATCGACAATCCGCCTTTCGAGGAGAACACAGTAGCAGACAGTATGTCATCACTTATCTTCTCAAGTCTCTTTTCTCAGATGTGGAAACATTTGTGGTGTCAGAGCTTGTCTCTTGCCAACTGTGAATGCACGTCTTCATTTTCTGCCTTTTTTTTTCCTGGAGAAGTACTAGTGGGTTTCGATTATGTGCAAGTATACAACTGGGATAAGGTCACAGTTAGGAAGGGAGGGAATATCTGGAGGAGGTACTAGATATCGTGGTGCTGTATCATCGTGTACCGTATCATGGTACAGTAGTTCATGTTAATCCACTAGCAGCACTGGCCTCAGTGAGATACAAGGAGTGTATTTTCTGTAAAATTACAAAAGTTGTTTTCTAAGGTGAGATTTCTTTTCCACTCTTCCTCCCTCCTCTCAACCCAGACCAGCAGCCCTTCCCACCCCCCGCAGAGTGCTGTCCTCCTCGAATGAAAAGGCAGCAGAGTAACTTCTGCATCCATCTGCGCCAAATGAGCAGTAGTGTCTCTAGAATCTGGGATTTTAGAGAAGAAGCGCTGAACCTTACCACAGAGGAAGGTGGTCCTGTCCCCTTTCTTCTCTGTATTTGCCATGCTTTAGCATCCCCCCATTTTCCTTTTTAGTTGTCTTCATGTTTGCTTCAGAAACAAGCTTCTTCTCTTGTCCTGGTAACTCAGTGGCAGCTCCTGGTGCATTTGTGAGACCAGCAGATGAAGAGGTGTGACCGCTGTGGGGCAAACCCCAAAATAACATTTTTACCTTCGTCACCAAATGTGAACACACGAGTGACCCAATTGGAAATGAAGTGTGTGGGATTTTATTACAAAGAACAGGATCCAAAGGATTCAGAATATCCTTTTCCAAGTCCAAATGACCCCATTTCAGGAAGCATGGATGCTACTAAGTCATCAGGGAGCTGTTTCTAACCAGCTAGGTGTTGTAAGGAGTACTGGAACTAATGCAATTGCAGTTGTTTCGTTTTCTTGTTAAACCGTTGTCCTGTGGTCTGTCTGTGTTGGCCTTGGGTGATTTGCTTTACTGCAAGTGAATGAGATATAAAGGATATTAACCATTTTTCTTTTTATAAAATAATTGGCAGCAAATCAACAGCCACCTACCTTGCCTGAAGGAGAGATCACTACTATTGAAATTCATCGGTCCAATCCTTATATCGAATTAGGAATTAGCATAGTGGGTGGCAATGAAACGCCTTTGATCAACATTGTCATTCAGGAGGTTTACCGAGATGGGATCATTGCCAGAGATGGAAGACTGCTTGCTGGAGACCAAATACTTCAAGTATGGAGCCTAATTATGTATTCTGTGTGCTTGCTTTCCATTCACTCCTCACAGAACTGCCTGTTAAACGAGATGGGAGATTTTCCTTGTCAGACTATATTGTGTAAATGTTAGCTTTGCAATTATCGGTTGGAAGGCAAATCAATATTCAGAGCTGAGCCTGTTGTTCTAGTGCTTTTGGCTATCATGCTTTATGTTGTTTGTCAGGCCAGTTCATGGAATTATATTTCCTCCTAAGCATCTCTTATTAGCATTTAAAATATGAGTTTATTTCTTCTGCTTTTCAATATTGTGGGACTTGGTCCTTATTTCAACTTTATGCCTGCTTTCTGAACCTAGGGTTACTTCTGGCTAGCAAGCTGGCATAATCTGTCCTATGTAAAAAGCAATTTATGGATTATAAAGCTGACTTCAACTAAACTGTTACTTTACTCTAGCTTCACTGTTACTTTCCTATAGCCTAGGCAGTTGATGTGCATCTTTTAGTATGTGTAAAAGTCGGTGATATTCTTTACTGGCATGATGTGAAGTAAGGTGCTCTAAACATGTTTTTTAAAAAGCAAACAAACATTTAAAATTTAAGATTATTATGATCAAGTGGGTTTTTGCTGTAGTTTTAAATAATTAGCCACAGACAGTGTAAAAAGATGAAGTTATATTAATTTGGGATTTTTAATTTTGTGTTGGAGAAGGGGTTGTTATAGAACTCTTAAAATGGCAGTAACTAGGTTGTACATAAACAGGACAGTCCTCCAGCTTTTTTCCATTTTTAATCATTCCACCTGAAGCAAGTATATCACGATCATTTCAAAATGACTTCAGTAACAATGTTTACTTTTGATCTTGGTGGCCTAAGATCAATCCAAAATTAGTATCAGCCTTTTTCATTTCACTTTTTTGAAATCCAGCTGACAGAAATAGCTTAAATACTGTAGTTACCCTTGGAATTAAATTAGTTTGCACATCAGAAAATAAAGGTGCCTTTTGAGAAACGTGCCTTTTTCCTCTCTTGGAGTGTTAGCATAGTGGCTAGCCTAGAAAGCAACCCAAGAGTTTTCTGAAATGTTGCCTTTTTAACAAGCAGTCACAGACACTGACTGAATGCTGCCTCATTTATTTCGATACTCAAGGGCTCTCCTTGGTTGCCAGAGCTTGAGCTCCAGTGAGGCTTTGAAAATCCGTGCTGGTTGGGCAGGTGTCTATTATAGTTACCAGAGCTGTAAGTGGCAATAAATTGACTATAAATAGGATTTATAAGCCGCAGAGACTCTTCCCGATCAGCATGCTGGTACGGGGGCTGTTGGATACTAGGAGGGTGTCTATGAGGGTCCTCCTGTTGCGCAGAGGGGGAAGTAGAGGAGGTAAAAGAAGATACAATATCTTTATTGCTTTGAATTCACCTGTGCAGGTGCTGAGCTGTTGTATGAAAATGACCAGGCTCAGTCTCTGCCAGCTGTAATTAAGTACAGGGTTAGGTGCAGCTCAGCGTGTACGCTTCGATCGGGTATTTCTGAAAATGCCTTCAAAGGCTTTTGTGAGGAGTAAAGGACTAAAAGGAACCAGGAAGGACTGCGAGGTGAAACTCAGCATTTTCTTGCCCAGTCAGACAAGAAGTATTACGCTTTTAAGATCTGAGGGAACAGTGTTTAGTAACAGCTACATAAAAGCAGATGTTGTCTGCAAGGTATAGATAGGTGCCTAACATTTTCAAAGCGCTCTGCAAAGTCCCTTTTTTGTGCTGGACTGTGAGTGTAATTCATGTAAAACATGTCCTAATGAGAATCTCTTTTCCCAAGAAACGCTAAGGCTGGTTTATTCTGAAATTGTCAACTGCCTTGTAGAAAGAAGAATTACATTTTATTGCATATATTCTCCTGTGCCCTTTAAATCCCTCCATATTTTATGTATTTACTTTAGCTCACGACAGCTAAAAATAAAACTAGATTTAATTTAAGGGCTCTGACGGATGAGCCCTAGAGGGTTTTGCTGGTGGCAGCTCTAAATGTTATTTCTCCTAGCTATGCCTCCTTTTCCCTCTGCCCAAGGTTATAGGCTGTCTCGAGGCAGCAGCAGACCAGGACGCGGCCGTGGTTCGGTGTCAGAGCTCCCAGTGCTGCCGGGAGCGACTGCGGCTTTGTCCTGGGTGTTGGGCTGGAGGCGACTCAGGGAGAGAGAATTCCCGCTTCGCTGACGGAGCAGCTGCCGTTGCAGCTACCCCTTGATATGGGGCAAGGGATAATGGTTTTAAACTCTTTTGGATTTGGACTAGATGTAAGGAATAAATATTTTACAATGAGGGTGGTGAAACACTGGCACAGGTTGCCCAGCAAGGTGGTAGAAGCCCCATCCGTGGAAACATTCTGTTTCAGGTTGGATGGGGCTCTGAGCAACCTGATCTAGGTGAAGATGTGCATGGCAGAGGACTGGACTAGATGACCTTTAAAGGTCCCTTCCACCCCAAAACATTCTGTGATTCACCGTACTGAAACCATCATGGCCAAATTGTTTGGCATTGACCGCTTGGAGACCCTCAGCTCAGATTTGTGATGTAAATGTGGCAGCCGTCATACATAGATTTCTCAGTCCTTTCTCTATACATTATGAGAAGCTGCAAGTTTATGTATTTGCTTACTTGGGCTTCAAAGGGGACCATTAAAAGGCTTAAGTAAGGCAGGTCACTATGGTCCATTTGATGTTAGTTTCTGTCTGCTGAAATTATGGGGCAGAGGTTCTGCCATCAGGGCACAGTAGTACACACTAAGGATGATGTTTTAGTGTTAACTTTGAACCCTTTCTTACAGCACAAGGCAAATACAGCTTTTGTGCTATTTTTCATGGTGCTTCTGTTTTCTGCCAAATCTCACTTGCACCGTCAATTTTGGTCTTAACTTTATAGTGCAAGAAGTGACTGAAGATTACTGATCTTTGTATCAGCGGGCCACATAACAAACACAATTCTTGTTTACAGAGATGGAAAGTTTAATCTGTTTTAAATTTACAACGAATTTTGAGTGATACGAGTTATAAGTTGGAACCTGTGACCTAGATGAAGTTAGTGGAACATCTCCTAAATTCACGTTAAGACTTGAGAACTAGTACAGCCACCTTTTTTTCTACTGTCTTGATGAACAAATCTAATTATTCTGGATTTCAAGGTTTTTTTTTAATTTTTCACATCACAGATATTTGGATATATTCTTTTTTTTACAGCTATTATTCTGTAGTTCTGAGTGATGCTAGACTTGATGCTGAAAGCACATGCAAAGTTCTTGTCCTGGAGAGCAAACAGTGTAAAGATCCAAGGAAGACAAGTGAGGAGGACCAGGCGAACAAGAACCCTGGACTCTGATGAAAGGGGGTTTTCATTGTTAAAGAGATGTGGTCACCTTTGGGGGAAAAAGCCTGCAGTTAACCAGGAGAGGTTTAGATCGTAGAATCATGGAACAATTCAGGTTGGAAAAGACCCTTGGGATCATCGAGTCCCAGAGAAAAATTTCCTCACCAAAAGGATGTTGGAGCAGGTTGCCCAGGGAAGTGGTGGAGTCCCCTTTCCTGAAGATATTTAAGAGCTGTCAGTATTAGGTTAATGATTGGACTCGATGATCTTAAAGGCCTTTTCCAATCTGGGCAATTCCGTGATTTTGTGACATCACAGAGGTTTGAGAGTCAGGCGTGGTGTTGTGGTTAAGCATTGGAACAGGCTGCCCAGGAAAGTGGTTGAGTCACCATCCTGGAGGTATTCAAAAGAGGTGCCTAGGGACATGGTTTAGTGGTGGACTTAGAATCATAGAATCATAGAATTGTCAGGGTTGGAAGGGACCTTAAAGATCACCTAGTTCCAACCCCCCTGCCATGGGCAGGGACATCCCCCACTAGATCAGGCTGCTCAGAGCCCCATCCAGCCTGGCCTTAAAAACTTCCAGGGATGGGGCTTCCACCCCCTCTCTGGGCAACCTGTGCCAGGGTCTCACCACCCTCATGGGGAAGAACTTCTTCCTAACGTCCAATCTAAACCGATCCATCTCTAGTTTTAATCCATTCCTTCTAGTCCTATCACTACCCGACATCCTAAAAAGTCCCTCCCCAGCTTTCTTGTAGCCCCCTTGAGATACTGGAAGGCCACAATAAGGTCTCCTTGGAGCCTTCTTTTCTGCAGACTGAACAACCCCAACTCTCTCAGTCTGTCTTCGTAGGAGGGGTGCTCCAGCCCTCTGATCATCCTCGTGCCCCTTCTCTGGACACGTTCCAGCACATCCATATCTTTCTTGTGCTGTGGGCTCCAGAACTGGACACAGTACTCCAGGTGGGGTCTCACGAGAGTGGAGTAGAGGGGGAGAAACCTCCCTCAACCTGCTGGCCAGACATCTCTTGATGCAGCTGAGGACACGATTGGCTTTCTGGGCTCCAAGTGCACACTGACGGCTCATGCTGAGCTTCTTGTCCACCAGTACCCCCAAGTCCTCTTCTTCAGGGCTGCTCTCAAGCCAATCACTGCCCAGCCTGTATCGGTGCTTGGGATTGCCCCGACCCAGCTGGAGGACCTTGCACTTGATCTTGTTGAACTTCATGAGGTTGGCCTGGGCCCACCTCTCCAGCCTGTCAAGGTCTCTGAGACTTGACATTGTTGGATTAATGGTTGGACTCGATGATCTTAAGGGTCTTTTCCAACTTAAAAATCGATGTGTAGATTGACAGCCAAAGTGGGTATGCAGGAGAGGGTGGAAGGATGAGAGAGAGGAAGCCTGGTAAGGTCAGATACATGGGTTGCTCCGAAGTTGGTTTTGCAGCGAGCTCTGAATTTAGTCTGGAACCAGCAACGACCAAAAACGTGAAAATACCATTCTGCTGTCATCTTTTGCAGGTCAATAGCTTCGACATAAGCAACGTGTCTCACAACCACGCTCGGGCGGTGCTTTCCCAGCCGTGCTCGGTGCTGCACCTCACTGTGCTGAGGGAGAGGCGTTTCGGCAGCCGCACGCGCAACCACCCGGAGCCCAGCGGCTCCCTGCGCGAGGACAGCTTCCAAGTCACGCTGCACAAACGTGACTCCAGTGAGCAGCTCGGCATTAAGCTCGTACGCAGAACGGACGAGCCAGGAGTTTTTATTCTCGACCTTTTGGAAGGGGGTTTGGCTGCTCAAGACGGCAGGCTCTGCAGCAACGACCGTGTACTCGCAATTAATGGACATGACCTGAAGCACGGGACACCCGAACTTGCTGCTCAGGTTATACAGGTAATTTGCATTCCCTCCATCAGTCCTTAGCTCAACTTTTATTTCTTGGGCAAAGCCTAGGGTAGAGTCTGTCCCGGACAGAAGCACTTGAGTAACACGTAAAAGCTTGCAGCAATGCAGTTTACTGTGATTTATGTCCTGGTAATAACAGTGCAAAACAGGGGCTTCTTTGACACCCAGCAGATGGACTGTACCTCCTCAGAAGTGAAAAGTCCATTAGTCTTCCTTGGTGATGGTTAGAAGACTGCTCATGTGTGCGAGGAGAGTACCATGTAGCCTATCAGTTAGTAGGAAAAAGAAGATTTTTACTGTATTTATGTATGTACTGTAGTAGTAATCTCTCAGCTCTATAAAAGTGAGCTTTGTTTTGTATTGATTTGCCTGCACGTGGAATCGGGGTTAAAGCAGGAAAGTGATTTGTTAGACTTTGTAGAGGCAACAGAGGCAGCAGCTGGGAAGGGAAAAACAGGTCTTCCGTGAGTCGGTGCTGCAAAACTCGTTTTCCAACTGTTTGAGAAAGGGCTATTCCCAAAGTCAGGCTCTGCTCTGGACACAAATATTACCCAAAGGTTGATGCAGTGTGACATATGACCCTTCCCTGTTCCAGCAGGAAAACCTTTGCTGCATGGCTTTCTCCCAGTCTGTACGGAAACAGCTGGAGCCCGTTGCTGTGTCCTGCTGTTGGGATGTTGGTGGAAATCGCTCTGTTTTTAGGAAAATTGGACCAGTAGTAGGTTCTTTCAGTCTATTGCAGTCAACTTTGCTTAACCCAGCACCACTCTGATGCAAATGAAAAGTAAATATTTGTTTCAGAAATCATTTCAGGAGCTTCCTTTGCAGTTAAAGGAAAACAACAATGATTCTGGAATTTGTGATTTCAATTTCCCAGGTTTTGGATACAGCGAAATGGTCAGAATTTTATGCTGGGTAACTTTTATCTATTGAAGTGTAGTTTTGTTGCAATAGAAAGGGCTGATATTTCATCTAACATCTGGTAACTGAGTCTCCCAATATTCCCCAAACTCTTGAAACTGATGGTCTGCTCATATATATGATATCTTTCTTGAAAGTCTGTTTGGGAATTACCAGAGGTGTTTAGAGCTTTTAACAAAAATCTGCAGACCCTGGAGCCATCACATTGGCATTTTTCTTTTATTGCTACACGTTGCAGAAGTTCACAGAGGCTGGAAATGGAACCAGGTGATTTTTAATGTTTGAAGCTTTGTACCACCAAGTGAGAAACAGTCCTTTTGGTGAAGGATTTCCAGCTGAAGTGTAACATCAGAGGCAGAGGAGGAGTGGCAATATCCCCTCCATTCTTGGGGAAATTGCAGCAAGAAGCAAGCAAGGGACCATGCAATCTAAGCAGTGTGTGGCACCTCCGGGAACTGGAAGGCAAATTCTGCCGTCATCTAATTTCATATTTCATCCTACGCTTTCCTCACCCCCTGTTAATAATCAATATCCTATCGACTTTGTGACTTTTTTGTTATATATTCCACAGGCTAGTGGAGAGAGAGTGAATTTGATCATCTCTAGACCCCTGAAGTCGCAGACGGTCAGTATTATCCGAGACACGGGGAATCACAACAGCAGCTCACACCAACATCAGACCCAGCAGCTCTTTCACAGCAGACCCAACTCACACAAGGTTGGTGTTTCTCTTTCTAAAAGGCATAAATACAATTTTAGTCTAATGATGGTCTAAGTGTGTAGTAAGGCAAGCTTGGAAAAAAGGGTTATATCTTCTTTGCAGTGCTCATTGGAAGACTGATGAGTTCTGCGGGGTCAAGCAGGCAGAGAAAGGCATAATGAAGAGACTTTCATAAAGCTAGTGTCGAATTATCTGGAAGATCTGCAGAAATAAAGTCTGTGCTTCAGATATTCTTGTAGTTAGAAAAATATGGCTTCTCACTGGTGAGAAGTTGATTTTGTGAAATAATTGTATGTTGACTCTGTCAACTAAACTACCTTTCCTGCTGTCTGCTCTGTTGGCGTCCCTGTTTAACATCACACTTCTGTTGGGAGGATTTACATGAGTTGATAATATTTTCTTCTAAAAGTTTGGGTAATTTAAGAAAAGAACAAGTGAGGCTTTAGGAAGCTTATTTTCAGCCTGGAGAAGAGAAGGGTGCAGGGAGACCTTATAGCAGCCTTCCAGTACCTGAAACGGGCCTACCAGAAAGCTAGGGAGGGGCTTTCTATAAGGGCATGTGGTGACAAGGGGCAATGTTTTTAAACTAGAGCAGGGTAGATTCAGATTAGACATTAGGAAGAAGTTCTTTACTATGAGGGTGGTGAGACCCTGGAATGGGTTGCCCAGAGAGGTGGTGGAGGCTCCTTCTCTGGAAGTGTTCAAGGCCAGGTTGGATGGGGCAACCTGGTCTAGCAGGACGTGTCTCTGCCCATGGCAGGGGGGTTGGAACTAGATGATCTTTAAGGTCTCTTCCAACTCAAGCCGTTCTATGAGTCTGTGAATCCTGAGGGACAAAGATGAGGCTCCTGAATGCAGTTAGTGGCTGTTGGTACTTGTCAACACATTAGACCATCTGCATCATTAGCTCATTAGCACGATTAGCTCATCTACATCAGACTTTGAACCCACTTTCCATCTGCCAACATGGTTGTGTTCATATCGCAGTTCCGAAGTTGATCTGTCACCTGAGCTGATTTCCCTCACGTATCAATACGATCCGTGAGCACCTTCAAAGTGGAAAGTTCCATGTAACTACAAGTGGACATTTCACATGGTTTATACCATTTATCTTTGCCTCTCTTTCACTAGCCTGCAGTTGTCTTAGAAGTCTTGTGACTTAGAAAATATCATTATAATTGCATAACACCAGCCAGTTAGTCCTATAACCTGAAGACTTAAGGAGCTGTCTTTATGAGGTATAGCATGTATAAGTATCACCACATCCGTGATTAACATGTATGTGCAAGGAGCAGAGCAAGTCAGAAGGAGCATGTGGCACTGGAAATCCAATTTTTCAAGAGAAGGCAGGAGAATAAATAAGTATTTGTAGTTGGAAAAATCATTTATTTGTTTATTTAAGTGCTGCTGCAGGCGTATGTGCAGTGGTTTGAATGTTTCATTAAAATATCCTGAAGAGGAAGGGCTTCAGCAAATAAAATATACTTTAATTCAGGTCTAGATCCTTTTGATGGGCCAAAACTAAATATGGACTAAAGTTTATAACTGATGTGTTAGAAAATGAAATACAGGATCTCTTCTTGCTTCAAGTTTGAGTCTCTTGTAATCACTGGGGCACAAGCCACCCCTTACCAGACTAGCATTGATCGGCCTTAATTCCTTTGTGCTCTGGGAAATTCTACATACCTGCTGCAAAAGAAAACATGAGGTGTAAGAGCTTTAAATAGTCTCTCTTTGTCACCATGAAAACACAGGTGTTTTAATTTCTTCGGAGCTTCTTTGTAGTTCTGGGCCTCATTCTACTGACAAGTGAAATAATGCTGATGTTCACAAAGACATCAAAAGATTTAGTTTGTGTCCACACTTTTGACCACCTGGTTTTGTGGTGCAGTCCTAAAATTTAGCCTGTTCCAATGTGGATGCTAAGAAAAACTGGAGTGAGATTTTCAAGACGGGCCTTTGTAAACTTTCTGTCTAGATTTAAGTATCTACATGAGTGGCTTTTTGCGGTGGTTTTTTGCAACCTGGAGGAAATCCAGTGAAAGCTGATTTACACTACTTAGTCCTTTTAAAATGTTCTGTTAAAGTGCCAAAGTATAGCTTTGAGGTGTATTTAGTTGTGTTTTGTTCTGGGGTTTGATGTTGGTTTTTTTTTTTCAAGTTTTAACAATGTTATTTATCCTTGTCAAACAGGATCTCTCCCAGTGTGTTACATGCCAAGAAAAGCACATTACTGTGAAAAAAGAGCCACATGAATCTCTGGGAATGACGGTGGCAGGAGGCAGAGGCAGCAAAAGTGGCGAACTGCCCATCTTCGTGACAAGTGTACAGCCCCACGGGTGTTTGGCAAGAGACGGCAGGATTAAACGAGGTGGGGCTTGGCTTTCCCGGTGGCACAGGTGGCCTCTGGGTGCTGTTTGATGAGTAGGTGCTCTGGAGGCAGGTGGTGCCAAAAAGTCTTTTCAGGGGGGGAAGCACTGGTGGATGCTTCTTTCTTCACCTTTAAATAATGGAAATAGAGTATTTAGTATTGCACTTTCACCTTTTCTAGGAAAGGGATGTTTAGAGGATGATAGCAGATGAAGCAGGTAGTACCAGGAAATGTCTGGTTAAATTCATGAAAGCTGATGGTAATCCCCTGAGCTGAGAGTCTGGTGCTTTGCTTTGTACTGTAGTGCATGATTTTATATTTAATTTGATGGGCTGGGCCCCATCTCTGCCTGAGGAATCTCTGCTGCTCGGTGTAATACATGAGAAGCAGAGATGCTATGATGACAGGCTGCGGCTCACCCGTGCTTGCACCCAAAGCTTTGTCAGTGTAGACCCTGGTTCCTGAGCTGTGTCTTATCCTTTGGGACTGTTTGGGTTTGTTGGTCTTTAGGGGTACCACAGCACCCATTCGTGTTCCTCAGCTTTGCAGAAGGGAACCAGGAGCTGGAGGTTAGGCTGGGTGTGGGTGAAGGGAGACCTGCCTAATCGACAGCAAAACATTTCATGATTAAAACATACTGTGCTGTATGTGAAACAAAGACTGCCTATGGGATCTCTGTGATTCAGAGTTCAGGGAAGAAATTTAGGGGAAAAAAAAACCAAAAAACTTCACAAATTGCAAATTTAAAAAGAACAGTGTGGGAGCATCCTCATACGCTTCTGAGAGAGGGAGATTTTACACCCACATGCCAACGGGTATGCTTTCTTTTTCTGTACTACTATGAAAAACATGCTTGGTAGAAGGATCACTATTGCTCTTTTATTGTGTAACATTAAAGTAGCCACAGCAGCAACAAAAGTAGTTTTGAGTTAAGCTGCACCTCAACTTTAGCTTTCCCTGGGAGGAAAAAGCTTTTGAAAAACGAGTCTTGCTCCAAATGTGATCCAGGTGTTTGCACTTTCGCTTTGTTTTTTCTGGCTTTCTTCAGTAAGTGAGTCATTGTGTAAAAGACAAGACATTCACTGCTTGGACAGTAAATAACATCCTTATTTTCATCCTGAGGCTTTTAAAAAATGTTCTGAAATAAAATAAAAATTCTGGCAGTTTTTTTTGTGGCTTTGACTCTTTCCAGATTATCTTTGTAGAGATGTTAGTTCATTCTTTCTCTCGTTCTCTCTCATTCTATCCGTCTTCTAATGGTCTTGTGTTTGTACCACACTTTCCAGTAATTTTTGAATTCCATTTCATTCTCCCTAGTAATAAGTTAGGAAAAGTAGAAGACTTAAAATACTTGATGGAGCCTCACTTATCTACAAGAGTTGTTTACTTTGTGGTGCCAGGGTTGTTATTTCCATCATTCTTGCTTCCCTTTTAAAGTTAGGCTGGACCCGAGATCCACCAGTGGAAACGGTTGTGTAGTGATATCTGCAGTAGCAGTTGCAGCTGAGACAGTGAGGTGCTTCGGTAATTGCTATCTTAGATTTTCAGGGCAATACACCGTGGAAGCCACAGCATTTGATATGTTATGTGGAAATAAAAGATACCGATCCAGCTCAGCAGTTCAGTATGTTAGTATTTCAAATCGGCAGTGTAAGGCTTCAGAGCTGTTCATGTTCCCAGGTTGTCACTTCAGCCTGTTTCAGCTCCAAAAAAATACAGGATTAAATGAAACCCTAGCACAGGAGGTGCTATCAGTAGGAACGACTCTGATGGGCTGGTGTGTTCTGACTTGTGCCTTTGAACAGGTGATGTGCTGCTGAACATCAATGGCATCGATTTGACAAACCTAAGTCACAGCGAGGCAGTGGCCATGCTGAAAGCTAGTGCGGCCTCTTCTGTAGTTGCCCTGAAAGCCCTCGAAGTCCAGATTGTAGAAGAACAGCCCCAGGTTAACGAAGACCAATTGAGTACCATCAGTGAAAATGAGTACGATGCCAGCTGGTCACCGTCGTGGGTCATGTGGCTGGGACTTCCAAGGTACGGAATTAATTGATAAAGTAATTTGTCACCTGTTTTAAGCTAAGTCCAAGAGAGATACGAAAGCAGAGACCTTATTAGTTGCAACAGGTCTGTTTTCTGCCTTGTTTCTGCCTGACTGACCATCTCAGATACACTAGGTGGGCAGTGTGCTTATAAAGCAAACTGTGAACACCAGCAGTGCTTCCTTAGGAAACTGAAAAATGAATGCACTTGGTTTATCTCTCCACAAACCATAGTAACTACCTTTGCAGATTCTTCTCACTGAACACATCATCTTTTCTATTGTTTACCTGTATGGTAACTTTCCATGGAATATCTGAAACCAGAGAAATTATTAATAAACCCACAAATTTTATACCCATGTGTGTCTCTGCTAATCTGCTGCCTAAATTTAGGTGACCAAATAGGTGATTTTACAATAATTGGATCAGACTTGCTGTTCTGACAGACTCTTGACACGGGTCTCTTGCACACGTATGAGCCTGTAGTTGCAAATCCCCATTTATTTATGTTTTTCAAGAACCCACTACCATCTCTGCCAGACACAAAAACTCTTGGAGATTTGCAGGAGGTGAGTTCCCCTCGACTAATCTGCAGCCTGCTGGACATCACCGCGTTTCATTTCTACTCGTCTGTTTTTTACTCTCTTGTGGCTACAGCTATAAGCTTGTTCCAGCATTGCTTGCTATCAAGAAGAGCTCCCACTGCAGTGAAGAGTGTTATTAATTTCACTGAGGGATGCGCAGGTTAAATCGTCTCCTTCTGGTAGAGTTACCAGTCTCAGGTCTGTAGTTAAAGCAAAAATCCCTGACAAGAACTGGGCCTATTGGTAGCAGAATTGCAGTTGAAGATAACGGAACTGTGCATTACCCCTTCAAGGTTTTCATGCTTTTTCTGATTTCTGGTTTCCGATTTCTTTTACCTTCAAGTATTAATGGGTCACCTAATCTCAATAAACTGCTCTCAGTTTTGGTAAATGTGCTTCCTTTCCATGCTTTGGCAGTGCTTTATGGCTTATATACTAGAGATGCCCATCTGTGGCTCCTAAAGTGATGCTATGCATTGTGCTGTTATTTGTGAAAGGAATGTTGTACACCAGTATAAAACTTGGCATTTTTTTAACCCAAAAGTTAATTTCTGTGTTGTGGGTTGTTTATTGTTTTGGGGTTTTTTTAATTACAGTCATCGCTAACTTCATTTTCACTGGAAGTGATAACATATACCAGTACAGTTAGTGAATCATTATTTGAATTATTTACATTCTGTGTAATAAAATGGTTAATCATTTATATTTTCGCTACTGATGATGCATCAGTTCAGAGGTAGCGAAGAAGATGCATGGCTTTTTAGATCTCTCAGTAAAGTAGAAGAAGCCTAAACTGACTGGGGGTGGAAGAAAAAGGCACCGAATTTTTGATTTGCAAACCAAACACATCAGGTATCCATTTTCCACCCACATTCTTGCCACCTGTGAAATCCCTAAAATGCCGTTCTGTTACTGTCAGTTTACTGAGTTAAGTGTGTTTAAGTAATTATTCTCGTACCGCATTATTTCTTTTGAAACACTTCCCTGTCTCAGGATTGTGGGGTGATTTTTTTGATAATTGGTTTGAATATGGCAAAATTACTCTGGGAGCAGGAGTCTAATCACCATCCTTCGCCTTCTCATCTGTGGTTGGCACAGTGGTAATGATGAGAGAGCAGGTGGTGTGCCTGGTATAGAAATATCTATATGTGGTGTACAGAGCTTTTTCTCTTGCTGTTTTGTGCTTCCATTCCACAGCTGCCTACATAGCTGCCATGACGTAGTCCTGCGGCGGAGCAATTTAGGGAGCTGGGGCTTCAGCATTGTCGGTGGCTACGAGGAGAACCACACGAACCAGCCTTTCTTCATTAAAACAATTGTTCTTGGAACTCCTGCGTACTTTGATGGGAGATTAAAGTAAGTGAAAACAATAGCAGTAGTAATAATTGTCACCGTCATCACTTTTAAATAGTTACATGCTGGTGCAATTAATTGCTTCAGGAAATACACTGTGGCATCTTGTGCTGGGGGGGATCATGCAGCCCAGTAGTGTTTTGCCTCCCTGATGAACGTGATGCAGGGAAGTGAGGGGGGTTTTTGCCAGGGAAAAGGTGTCTGTCCGAGGTGGTGCTTGTGCTGCACCTTTGCCATCTCTCATCCTTCTCCCCTGCCGCAGTGCTGATGTCACCTGTTGTCTACATCTCCCTGTTGGACGCTTCTTTAGGCCAAGAGACCTTGCAAAATGTATATGTGCAGAACTGGCTAGTGCCTAACGTTTTTTGTCTTCCTAGAGAACAACTGAAAAATCAGAACTTACTTCCATAAAGTGGGGAAAACTGCTTTATCCTTTCATGTAGCCGTTGCTTTCATATTGTTGTTTCTGCAGACTCTGATACTGAAGATAGGTGCTGCTGCTTTAATAGAAAGGAAAAAAAAAGTAGATAAAAAAGTCAGTACCTCTGGAAAGGCTGCTAAGGAACCAAGTCCCCGTGTCGGTGGGCTGAAAGTCATTAGCTGGCAGGAAAAACACTGATAAATGAGGCAAGTTCAGCAGAGGCCACTGAGATGGAGAGACTTGGAGTGCCTGCCCTAAAAGGAGAGGCTCGGGGAGCTGGGCTTGCTCAGCCTGGAGCTGAGATATCTTTGGGGACACCCAACAGCCTCTTCCAGTGCCTGCAAAGAGATTATTGAGGAAACGGAGCCCAGGCTCTTCACAGTGGTGCAGGGCAAGAGGAAGAGGGACAGCAGGCACACGTTGAACAAAAGAGATTGAGACTGGTTGTGAGGAGAAACACTTTCCCCACGAGGATGGTCAGGAGTGGCGCGAGGTTGCTTATTCCCTGTCCTTGGCGGTTTCTGAGACCCAACTGGATAAAGCCCCAGGCACCTTGGTCAGCTCTTACGGCTGACCATGCTTTCAGCAGAATGTGGGGCTAGAGACCTCCTGAGTACCCCTCTGACCTTAAAGATTATGCAATTCTACTTACATGTTACGTTTGGATGCAACCCTGAGGTTTAATATGTGTATATGCATCTTAGCCTTGTGTAGGATTAGTTCAGAACAAGGAGTTACAATTCCTATTAAAGGTTCTCTTATTCATAAACTGATTTTTGTGAAGGTGGCAGTAATGAATACACAACTTGAAGTTTTATGGCATGATTTTTACATGTAGATTTACTTACACGTAATTTAAGAAAAAATGCACTTATGCCTAGACTCTTGCCAGTAATTGATTTTTCAGTTCAATGACTAAATAAATAAATGAAAAAATAGCTTGGCTGAACATAAAATTAGATTTATTTTTTTTTGGCCAGCTATGAAACAGTTTGGATTCAATGAAAGATTTCATTTCAACCCAAAGTAAATAATTTCAGATTGGGGGATTAATAACTACAAGCCTTCACACAAATGGAAATTCAAGCATCATTCCTAAGAAGAGGGGAAGAGTGATTGTGGTCACACTTATCCCTTGTAAGGAATGGAAAAGATGCTTTCATGTGATACTGTGATACAGTACCCTCTGCTCAAATGTACTGTCTCACTGAGAATATGGACTTAAAAATGGGCCATGAACAAGGGATCCCTAGACCCTGCACCATGAGTTATCCTGAGGCAGACATTTTTGAAGCTATTTTGTTTAAATTATTTAAAAATTTTGTTTGGCTAGAGAGGAAGGAAGACAATCCCAGTTCAACAGTTAGGACAGTACTGCCTGTATAATCTGCCTGGTGTGATTTTATAGGAGGTGACATGACTTCAGCAGAAAGGCCGAGTGAGTGAGACCCCGCTGAGTGACCTGTAACGTTGTGGTTTGGGTGATGGGGTTCAGGCAGAGAAGTGCTTTTCAACACACTTTTGACTGAGGTTGGTCACACTGCCTCTTCTTCTTCTGCTCCACCCTAATGGAGGGCACAGGAGAGCTCAAGAGAGCGTCCTTTTGCCATCCCTTTTGGTGCTTCCAGTAGTTGGGAGGTTCACTTTAAGGAAAAGTCCTGTTTGGTCTTGAGAATCATGTTCGACTGCTCGGGGGGATGCCAAACACACACTCAAGTCGCAGGGAAGAGATGCCTGGAGATGAGTTGTGCACAACATAGGAAGAACTTAGGTGTTTTTTTGAAGTTTCTCTCAAGCTCCTAAAAACTGAAACTTAACCCTTCAAGGTCAGTTTTCTCAAGGCTGGCAAACAGCACCTTCCCAAATTTCTGTTCGCTGCTTCGAAACACAGAGATGCTGCAGCTTCTCAGATGAACCGTCTGCTGAGGGAGACTTCAAGCCAAATGGTTGCATCTGACAAAATCATAAGCCATTTAATATAGAGTTCTGGGTTGGAGCGTGGTTAGTAACCATAAGTATCTTTACTTACACCTCCTACAGTAAAGGCATGTTTGGGTAAATGTGTTATAATCCACACAAACAAAGAGAAGTGTTTCTGTCATGCACATGCTATCTCATTGTCTTCTCTTGAGTCCATTAGATCTTCCCAACTCTCTCTTTTCACATTTCCTTACAGACCAGCTCTTAATGTGGAACTATCCTTGTACTAGAATTGAAATCCAGTGATTTGGAAATTTCCAAGATGAGTTTCAGCAGTAAAGCAGACTTAAAATTGAACCCCTTTGGTTTTTTTAGCTGCACTTCCAACCTGATGAGAATCTGTCACCTCAGCAATGAAGTGCTGTTTGTTGGGGGGGAGGGGGTGTACTCGTTACTGCAGAGCTGTAGTCATAGTTTGGTTTTGGTTTTTTTTTCTTCTTGTGTTTCTTTAGGTGCGGTGATATGATTGTTGCTGTAAACGGACTGTCCACGGTTGGAATGAGCCATTCTGCACTCGTTCCCATGCTGAAGGAGCAGAGGAACAAAGTAACTTTAACCGTGATTTGCTGGCCTGGAAGCCTCATATAGATTTGTGAATCTTTTCGGTTCAAGCAGCGTCTTTTTCTAGAGAGCTAGCACAAAAATCACCTCTGTCTTCTTTTTCCTATTGATACAGCTGGTTATAAGCAGGGCCAAAACTGCTGTATTTTCTTTTTTTTTCCTTACGGGCCTCTCAGACTTACTCTATATATCTTTCCATCCTGAAATAGCCATTTCTGTCTGTTATATCCATCGCTGACACAAATGCAAATATACACGAGCTCACAAAGAAACTCCCACGGCTGTCGTTGAGCTTTCCCCGTCAGGCTTTGAGACTCGGCAGAGGAACTTAGTGGTTCTTTGGGTTTCTCTGCACAGCCCTCAAGTGATATGTGATATATAAACGTAATAGCCATGTGCCCCTTCCTTCTTCCCTGCAAAGAGAACGTGCGTCAGTACCGCAAGGGCACATCTGTCTGCTGCTATGAATCAAAATCCGTTTCCAAAGGTACGTCTCTTCATTTTGTAAGCCTTTCTATTTTTGATTCAGTATTTCAGACTGATTCAAGCAATCCGTCTCACGTGGCAGAAGTTACTCGGTCCCCCCCAATTTTTCTTGCAGGGCATCGGTGTTCACAGAAAAGTAGGACAAAAGCCTGATATTACTGGAATTTTTATAAAGTGCAATAATTGGACTCTTTATTAGGAAACTTTAATATATTATAGAGTTTGTATCCTATAATGACAAGACATATGGAAGCAATTGCTGTTGCAATGCTGGCAAGAATACACGTGCCCGAGGTCGCCTTTGAGTGAATGGCTTGCAGTATTAGACTTGACTTTACAAATGAATGTTTTGCTATGTCGGAGAATTTTGATGAACATTTTTACTAAGATCATTTTTACCGTTTCTATTGTAGTTGTCAGCTCTCTCTATTTATGTGTGTAAACCATACTTTGACTTATAGTTTCTAAGTGAGGGAATTATTTCCAGGAGAAAAAAGCAAGCTATTGAGAAACCGTATGTTATGGCTTACAGGTGGGCAGGCTAGAAGGAAGACTCTTTGAATTCAAGTCCAACTGCAAAGTAAGCTGCGAAGTTCACTCTTATTCTGTCACCTCCTGACAAATGTGCAAACGCCTTGATATCAAAATGCTGAAACGATCTCTCTTGCATTTCAGGATATTATTTTAATTTTTCTTTTCCTTTAGGGAGCACCTGCTATTAAGTTGTCAAAGTAGTACTATTTATCTTGGATTGTGTTAGTATTATTACATACCAACCTGTAACTTCTAGACTTTGCCTTTCCATGATATTTGCAGGCTAAGAACTCATTTGTTTAAGAAACGAAGGGTGGCGTGCGGAAAGAAATGTGCTGACCTGGAGCTAACCCTGTGTGTTGTCAGTGTTCTGCATATTTGAAAAAGAGCTTAATTTATAAACCAGGTTCCCAGCCAGAACTGATTTGATGGATGACCTCTGTATTGTATTATTAATTACAAGAGAATGTATCAGAGAATCGCAGCATATTTCAATTGTGAAGCATGAACTTTATTTTCAAACTTAGCCGGTATAATATCAGCGCATATTATCGCATGTCATTAATACCAGTACATTTGTTTTCAAAAGAAATAAAGTTACTGTTTTGCAAAAAAAAAATAATAATGTAAACATCTCGTATGAATGAAATGGTTTTATTCCTCTCTGTAACATATGCTATTGGTTTAATTTCATAATATTAAATTACAAAGGAATGTCCTCTACAGTATATTACTGTATTGAGAGTCTTTGTTTCTGAAGCCAACACCAAACTTATCCAATGCTCTTTCTGATTTGAGAACAAGTTTCCTGCCATCCCCAGATGCTGTTTAACTGTATGCTTTGCCCTTCATGCAGATGTTTTTGTAAAGTACATCTTAGTGTAGGCTTTAGCCAAGACTTTGGCATATGTACTAGATTGAATGTTTTTTATTTTAAAAATTACACTTTTCATTCAAAACCCTGCAAACGCCCAGATTTTTAGGAGGTTTTTTTCTTTTTTTTTATGTGTATGTAACAAAAGCATGGGTTAGCTTAAACTGTGCAGGTCTGTTTCTTTGTGCTGTAGCTTTTGATCAGAATGTCTAACGATAAAAAAAACCTTTCTCGATTAATTCCCATCCTGAATAATTTTTCCCCTTTCTCTTGTAGCTGCATAGTCGGGTTTGGTTTTCTGTGCCTTCTGTTTTAAGTTATTTCAAGATTATTATTTTTTTCCAGATATTGCTATCTAATCGTGTGGTATTAATGAAGGATGAATGAAAATAAAAGTTCCTTCTACTCATTGTAATAACTCAAGGTATTGTCTCACTCTTTGCAACAGACATGGATAGCTCAGTGCAGACTCAATTTAAAGGGGTTTTTTTTCTGATGTGATTTATCATAAATTACAGTTAGTGAAAGCACCAGGAGAATCCGAGGGTGTGCTCGTCCCACCAAGGTAACATTCCAGCTTTTTAACCAGTAATTCCAGCACTGAGAAGTGTTTCTAAAGCAGAGGTAAGATCTGTGCCTTGTGGTACTTTGCCGCAAGCAGCTTTTCCTTTTTCCCCCTGAACGCCAGCTGGTCCCAATCAGCTGGAGCATGTTTTCACAGCATAGATTTGATGCAAGGAGACAGTCTTGCTGGAAACACAGTTTTACAGCTGAAACTTGAGCCTCCTGGTAATCAGTTCCCATCTCCGTCTCCTGCAGGCAAGTTTGCTCTATCTTTAGACGTCTGCGAGGCCAGAATGAATCTAAAAGCAATTCCTTTATGATTTGCAGTAAGGTTGCCCAGAACCTGGATCCTTATTCCTTGCCGTAGTTAGTGGGTTATGATTAGATGAGGTCCTTTAAAACAAATCCCTGCCTACGTACAGAAATGCAGAGGAAGGAGGGCAAGAGCAAAACTATCAGAGGTTTGATTCACAGACAGATAGGTGAATTCATTGTTGCAGCTGAAGGTGCACAGAGGTGTTATGTGAGGTGTTGGACCTAGTCATCTCTGTGCTTGAACTTCTTGGGAGGAACACCTTCCCCAAACAAACCCTAGGGTTCTCCAGTGAAGAGTGTAAAACAGTTTATTCTGCTTCACGGCATGCCAATGAAGCGAAATCTGAAGATGTTTCACTTGCTGCTCTAAACTTTCTATTTAGAGACAAGAACAACTGAGGGAAAAATTCAACATCACAAATTAAGAATTTATTTATCTGCAAATTCCCTAATAGGTCTAGGGCAGGTGTAGTGAAACTCGCTAAGCCTGGTTCTCAGCTGTAGTGTGACTGAGATAATGCCAGAAGCAAGGCAAGTTCCTTTTTATTAAGAAACTTCACCATTTACTTCTGAGGTAATTTTAATGGATCATAAAAATTTGTTAATGAGCTAAGGTAGGAAATCCTGATGAGTTTAAAACAATGAATATGCCAAGCAGGGCAGCAGTGATGACAAACTTGGAGTTAAGGCCACACGTGTCTGATGCCACACAGCCCAAAAAGATGTTATAAGACTAAGGCAGGTCAATGAACATCCTCATCCCAGTTGTCTCAGGCAACTTCTAGGCAAGCATACTTAAAAAGTGGATCTCCCCTGACACATAATAAGAGACTGAAAATGATTTGTGATGGCCTCATCACACCTGACATAAATCTGTCCAGCTAGTGAAGAACAATTCTTAGATTTCATGTTGCCCAGAGGGTGGAGAAAGCCTTAGACTTCATGCTTCTGAGGCAATTCAAATGATGTTCCATGGGTAAGAAACCTTCATTCTGGCTAAATGTTGATGTTGTCCTTGTGTTGCTGCTGTATCATGTGGATGTGTGCCCTGAATGTTGGGAGTGCAATGTGGATGCAGTGCCCATGGCAGCGGTGCATTGAAATGGATGTGATGGTGATGAGCTCCCTTCTGCAGAGCAACACAGGAAACTTCAGACAACTCGGAAATCAAAGAGGCCCCAGAGTCCGGTCAAAGATGCGGAGCCTGCTTGGCATCAGCCACGTGGCATTCACTGTGCCTGAAGATGTTGAAGAATGAGAAGGAATTTTTCTGGGTTTGGGGATTGTTTTTGTTGTTAAAGTCTGCTGGTAAAGGCTGGCAGGAGGAATCTGTGGGTTGCACGCACAGCCAAGCAGAAACAGCACGCTCCTCAGTGGAGAAAGCCAAGTTTGTTTTGCCAAAGGAGGAACGAGAGCCAATCCCTCCCGTCACACAAGGGGGGAGAACTGGGCTAGAGGTGGATGGGGAGAGCCTCTTCTATGACTCTTAGGAGTAAATACTCCATCTAGGAGGGGCTACCCCTCTTCTCCTTCCTTCCTAAGTAGTAGTAGCTACCTTTAACATCTTAAATCCTCTCCTGGACTTTTCCTACCTTACCTTAGCTGCAGCAGCCAGCTGTATAGAGTCCTTGGCTCAGGTTTAGAGAGAAGTGGCAGTGACATCGAAGCTGCTTTGCATCTGGCAGCAGGCTGCCACGGTGGCGCACACCAGCTCCGGCTCTGCCAGAGGCAGCGATCGTGGTCTTGGTGGTGACTCTTGGGCATCTTGCAGGGAGGTGGGCAAAAAATAACCCACTACCTCTGCCTTCTAAGATGCAGTTGCAAGGGTTCATGTAAGCACATCAGGAGCACTCTGAACTCAGGTTTCAGAGTTAGGTTTGCCTAATGCTACAGATCCATAGCTCACAGAATAACCTCTGCGGTGGGGAGGGGTTCATCAGGCAGCTCTGCTTTAACCTCGGAGCATCATGTCCAGTGGTACAAAACCACCACTTTCAGCAGCTGTGTTTGGTTTTCTACAGCTCTTCTGCCATGCCGGTGTTGGTAATCATTAGAGGAACAGTTGAAGGAGAGGAGGTAAGTGTTACTAAAACAGAGCTCTTTCTTCATGCTTTTACCTGTTAATGGATTATCGCATTCTCTGCAGTGCATTTTCTGTACTGTGCCTTCAGGGCAGTGGTAAGTCGTGGTTTGTGAGCACTGAATGGCAATGGAAATTAGAGGTGGATGTGTTCTCTTGCATTAACTAGTTTACCACTAGGCTGGGCAAGATACATCACGTAACGGAGATAGTATCATAGCCAGTGAGAGAATTTAATTAGAATGATGAATTTAATGCTGCAGAAGAGTTTAGATGTAGCTGTGATGTTAGTTACTTGTAGTGACTTCACTGCTTAGCAAACCCAGCACCAGGCAGCAAGACCCCAAACACCTTTTTTGTGCAGGCGGGGGCTGAACCTTAACCAGCCTCAGGACAAGCCCAGGCTTCCCACT